AGGGACCTGTTACCAACATTTCCTACTTAGTGAAATTATTGATCCTAATTAATATTAATTGATGTTTAATTTATCGAAGTGAATGCAGCTGCTGGTAACATCTGTACATATACATGTTGTACAAATCACTCAGGGTATGAGGTGCTTGTGTTTCTGTGCGTGTCCCAGAGTTACGCTGAGCATGTCCATGTGTACGAAGGAAAGGGGTGACCAGAAGTCCCCCCAACTCACACCTGTAAGTGTGCCCCCCTTTCTTTCCCTCCCTCCCTCCCTTCCCTCCCTTCGTTTTCTTTCTTTCTTTCTCTCTCTCCCTTCCTTCCTTCCTCCCTACTTTCCTTCCCTTCCCTTTCCTTTCCTTTCCTTCCTTCTTTCTTTTCCTTCCTTCCTTCCCTCCCTCCTTCCTTCCTTCAAAAGATTTTATGTATTTGAGGGACAGTGAACGGGAGGGAGAGGGAGAGAGAATCTGAAGCAGACTCTGCTGAGCTCCGAGCCTGATGTGGGGCTCGATCCCACGATGGTGAGATCACAACCTGAGCTGAAACTAACAGTCAGACGCTCAACCAACCGAGCCACCCAGGTGCCCCGAGTTTGTCTCCTCTTTCGAACACACCATGGGCAGGCCCGTCTCCTCCCAGCAGACGGGCCTGGGTCTTTGCTGGCGTCGCCATGTTGTGAGGCGCCATGTGTCCGCAGAGCGGCCGGTGCGTTGAGCTGTCCTCTCCCCTTGGCGGGCGGACAGGTGCGTGTAGATGCCTGGCGCCCTCTATTCAGTTTGGGGATTCTGGCGAGGGGGTTCTGGTGAGGGGATTCTGGTGAGGGTCCGTCTTTTGATGGTTGACGGACCAGATGGCTTTGTAACTGAGAGCTTGGAGCTCAGGATGGAGTTTCTCAGGCCCCCAGTGTCCGTCTACGCAGCAGGCCGAGCCGTAGCCTGACCCGCAGAGATGGGCACTTCGTGTGGCTCAGCCGAACGGACGTGGGCAGGCAGGCTGGCGTTCGGCCATAGGTCAGGGCCTCACTGCTCCATGGCCTCCCAAGGTTGACTCTGGCCGGAGGAGGTGGAGGTCCTCAGGGGTCTTTTGAAAATCATAAAGGATGATGTTTCTTTACTTACGTATTGCATCTTTTTTTTTTATTGTGGTAACATGTGCGTAACAAGAAATGGGTGTGAAGTCCACTCGCCCTGTCCTGCCGCCACCTTCAGCATCCATCTCTAGAATAACTGTCTTGCGAAATGGAAACTCTGTCCCCATGAAACTCTAGGTCCCCATCCCCCCCCCCCGCCCTCCCAGCCCCTGGCCATCACCTTCCTACTCTCTGTCCTTATGAATGCGACCCCTCGGGCGCTTCGCATAGACGGAATCATGAAGTATCGTTTTTGTGACTGGCTTCTTTCACTCGGCATAATGTCCTCAAGGGTCATCCTGGCGGTGGCAGGGGTCAGGATCTCCTTACTTTTGTGGGCTGAAGAACATTCCGGTGTGTGTATACACCATCTTTTGTTCATCCTCTCGTCCACCTGTCGGCACTCAGGGCGCTCTCATGCTTTAGCCGTTAGGAACAACACTGCTGTGAACGTGGGGGTGCACAGAGCTTGCCAAGGCTCTGCTTTCTGTTTCACAAACTCGGAAGTGAAACTGCTGGGCTAGCTGGGGATTCTAATTTTTTTTTTTTAAGATTTTATTTATTTGACAGAGATCACAAGTACCTTCTCTGGGCATTCAGAGCCCCTGGCTAGTGCCCCAGCAGCCTGCCACCCCTGCCCAGGTCACCAGTCCTACCCCCACAGCAACCTCTCTCTCCCCAGGGGAGGAGGCTGGGTTCAAATATCATCTCCATCATCCCCTCCTCTGTGAACTGGGGCACACCCCTAGCCCCTTCCTCCTCCGTCAGGTGGGGATAAGCAGCTTCCTCACTCATCTGGGGGTTCTGCAGGGCAGGCACCGCGTCAGGTGTCTGGGTGAGCCGCTGAGAGACTCCAGCCAGCCACAGCCTCCAGGAAAGAGGGTCCAGCCCTGCTCTGCGCCGCTGGCCCGGCTGTCCGTGGGTGTGAGAGGAGAACCACCTTCGGCTCCCAAGTCTCCCTGCTCTGTGCTGGTAACATGGAGGGGCCGCTTCCTCCTCACACTTGAGTGGGCATTTGTGTGGAGGGAAGAACTTTCCTAGAAATGTATATTCTTGCCCCCCCCCCGCCGCCCTGCTTCCTGCCCAGTGATCTAAATTTGGATTAGGTGGGACTTGGGCATCTGCATTGTTTTCAGCTTTCCTGAGAAGTCGTTGAGACCCACTGAGGTTCGAGGTTGAGGCGTGCAGCGTGATGGTTTGGCAGACGTCTGCTGTGAAGTGATCAGCACGGGAGGCTCTGCTAGCATCCAGTTGCTCCTACAGATACGACACAAAGACACAAAGCCCTTGTCTCCATGTGGCGAGAACTCAGGATTTTTCCGTCCCTCCAAGTCCCTCTAAGGGGCTACGAGACACCCCCTGGTGCTTCCTTCCCTTGCACGTGGGGTTTGGACCCTCTGACCCCCCCTCCTCCAGCTCTTCCATCCCCCTATAACCACACGTCTGATCTCTTTTCTTGAGTTTGTTTGTTGTTTTTGTTTGAGATCCCACGTATCAGTGAGATCCTGCAGTGTTTGCCTTTCTCCATCTGGCTTATCTCACCTAGCAAGATGAAGGCATCATGTCACGAGTGGTAGGGTTTCCTTGGTTTTTATGGCTGAATAATATTCCATTGTGCACACATGCACCACGATGTCTCTATCCATCCCTCCATCCATAGCCATGTCTTGGCTACTGTAAATAATGCTGCAGTGAACTTGGGAAGCAGATATCTCTTTGAATTAATGTTTTCATTTTCCCCAGAACAGGATTGCTGGACCATATTGTCATTGTGTGTTTCATTTTTGAGGACCGTCCATGCTGTAAATGGCTGTACCCATTTACAATCCCAGCAGCAGAGCACGAGGGTTCCTTTTCCTCCGCATCCTCGACAACACTGGGAATCTCTCGTCTGTGTCTTTTGATGGTGGCCATTCTGACGGGTGGGAGGAGGTAACATCTCGTTGTGGTTTTGATTGGCATTTCCCTGAGCATCTTCTCATGTGTCTGTTGGCCGTCTGGGTGTCTTCTTTGGAGAAGCATCTGCTCAGGTCCTTTGCCCATGTTTTAATTGGGTGGTTTTTCTGCTACTGAGTTGGATGAATTCTCTCTGTATTTTGGAGATTAACCTGTTATCAAACACACGGTTTGCAGGTATTTTCTCCCATTCCACGGGTTGTCTTTTCACTCTGTGGATGGTTTCCTTTGCTCTGCAGAAGGTTGTCCCACGTGTTTATTTTTTGCTTCAGTTGCTTGAACTTTAGGTATCACATCCGAGAAACCATCACTAGGACCAACGTCAGGGGAGCTTTGTGTCTGTGTTTCCTTCCAGAAATTCCGTGGTTTCAGGTCTTACATTTAAGTCTTTGATCCACGTCAGGTTAATTTTTGTGAGTGGCGTGAGGTCGGGGTCCAGCTCCATTGTTTCGCATGTGAATATCCAGTTATCCTGGCACCACTGATCAAGAGACCATCTTCTCTCCTGTTCAGCATCCTTGTCAAAGACTAGTTGACTGTACATCCCTGGGTTTATTTCCAGGCTCTCAGTTCTGTTCCACTGGTCTGTTTTTTGCCAATACGATATTTGTTTGCTTATTGTAGCTCTCTGTATATCTTTTAAAAAATTATTTATTTGAGAGAGAGAGAGATCGAGCGCACACAGGAGCTCTTCTGGGCAGACGGGGCTGTCTCATCCCTTGTCTGGGTGAGGGTAGGAGGCTGCTCTGGGCAACTCTCACTTCCCCAGACTCTCCATTTGGGAGGGGCCAGGAGCTACCCTCAGCCTCGGCCAGGAATTCATCCTCTTGCCTCTGTGGACCAGAGAGACCGTCCACAGCAGGCACAGGCTTTGCCCTGGGGGTAATCAGCTTGCCTGCCTGCCTCGGCACATGTTCCTTCCTGCCCTCTGGTCACACATGGCTGGGAGACCCTCTCTGGGAGACCGTCTCTGGGTGTCCAGTGTCTGGAGATTAGGGTGGGGAGCCAGTGACCTAGAGGGTGAGAACCTGTAAAGGAGGTGGTTGGGGGGTGGGCTCTGGACTGGGGGGGTCAAGTGCTAGCTCTAGGGACAGTTTGTCCGGGAGCAGCATGGGAGACAGGTACGGACGGGGGGTGGGGAGCAGACTAGCTTTTCTGCAGGGTGGCCGCAGGGCTCAGAGCCCACGGAGGACAGAGGCTGGCTCCGGGAAGATGTCACTAAGTGCAGCACTAGCACGTGCAGGGATCTGGGAAGTCCTACTGGCTAAGGGACCTGGACACACATGCTACGTTGCTTTGTGGCTTGTGGCTATTCAGCAAGTCTTGGGCCCCCTGTCCCTCCCTTTGCAGGTCTGGGGTGTCTAGGGGAACCCCGTCGGAGATGGGTCTCTAAACACGGGCACCGGCCTGCGCCTTCTCCACCCTGCAGGAACCTGGGGTCTCTGCTTCTGTCCCTTTGCAATTAGTGAGTGTGCTGGGGGTCACTTCCTGAATTTGCCTCCGTGGGTGGCTTCCGTGTCACCCCAGGGACTCTGGTTCCTACCTCCCAGCTGCTAGACCTTTACAACTTCTGCCACACAAGGTGGACGTCCTTCCCCCAGGCTGTTCACTGTCCTCACAGGGAGCTGCACTGTGGCTCCCTCATGGCAGGGATGGCTTATCATGGTTTCAGGACTGTGCTGGGCCCCAGGACTGTGCTGGGCCTGGGCCCACACATCCCAGGGCTGGTGCCTCGGCTCCCCCAGCATAGGGACCAGAGGCGAGCCGGGTCTGAGTGGGAAGGAGCTGGACACGGGCCACCCCTCTCCTAGCTCCCTGGGGGTGGCGTTGGATAGCGGGGCCCCCGGCTCGCTGGAAGCATGCGTGTGGCTGTTAACCCCCAGTGCACTCAGAAGGCTGTCCCCTCCGGCCTCTCACAGGCACATTTGTCTCAGCCTTCGCGGTGCTGTGCGGAGCCCGCACTGACCTCCCGGACAGGCATGTATGCTGTGTCTTCTGGCTCAACATCGCAGCGGCCCTCATCCAGACCCTCACGGCCATCGTCATGGTGGGCTGGATCATGAGCATCTTCTGGGGCATGGACATGGTCATCCTCGCCAGTGAGTAGCCACCCGTGCGTCGGGGGCTGGGCTGGAGGAGGGGCCGGTGCTGGATGGTCTGGGCCGTGTGGTCCCGCCAGGGGTAGCACCTTGCCGGGAGGTCTCCTCCTCCCCGGGGCCGGGCGCTCAGGAAGGCACACCTGTGTGCTGGTTACGGGAGTCTGCAGCTGCCTGGCAGAGGGGACCCTTCCCCTGTCCTATGACCCTGACCCTCCGCATGCCCAGCCCCATGCCTGCAGGGAGTCCTGAGCCCGAAGGTGTGAACGAGACAGGATGGAGCTTCTGATCAGCTCAAACACCTTGGGCATCCTCCTTGTTGAGGGAACAGCCCCGGCCCACCCTGGTTAGCCGGGGTGCGGTCCGTGTGCCTGGTGGTCCCAGTTTCCAGAAAGAAGGAGAACCCACGTGGCCTCCCTGCCCACGGGAAACCCTGTAACTGTGGGTTGTTGTGTTGTTGTGTTCAGTTTTTATAGCCAGACAGCACGGTTTTCTCCTTCCTTTGACCTAAGTGTGGCTCCTTCTTGAGGGCACCTTCGCCCGTCATTTAGCACAAACTTGAGTCAGACACGAAACTGTTTTGAGAAAGTGCCTAACGTTACAAGCTCACCGGATGGACATAACATCTGTGAAGTAACCTTGAGCTCTTAGAGTAGACACTGCACGTGGCCGGCGTTTTCACAAGTTCTGTCCACGCCACCGTGGACTCCCATGGGCAGGGACCGCATCCCCTCAGGCACGGCGTTGCCCTCTCTTCACGCCCCAGGCTCCTCCTGGTGTCCGGTGCAGCAAAGCCCCTCCTGGGCTGGCCTGTCAGTGCCAGAGGGTGGATGGGAGTTATGGGGACTGAGCTAGAACGATCTAGAATGACCTGTAGCTGACTCCCTCTGGGTTCAGGGTCCTCAGGGGAGGCAGGGCACACACAGCTGCCAGGCCAGGCCAGGCCTCCGGTCAGTGACCAGTCAAGCCACAGGCCAGAAAAAAATGCAGGACCCAGAGCCCAACTGGGGTCCCTTGGAGCCAGTTGATTGGGCAGACTGGCCACCTGGAAGCAGGACATCCAGCAACAGAGGTCCGGGAGGCAGTGGCAGACCCTGGGAGGCAGGGGCCAGCCAGAAGAACAGGAGGGGACCAGCAGGCCTGGCTAGGAGCTCCGGGGGTGGGTGGGTTGGCCCCGGGGAGGCTGCAGAGGGCTGCTCTCAGGGCAGGCACAGGGAGGCTCTCAGGGAGGACCGGGACCCTGGGAGGGGAGCAGGCAGAAGAGTCAGAGACCCAGGTAGGCCTGCCATGGGCGCCTCACCCTGTGCCCGGGACCAGGGACTGCAGAGCCCGAGGCTTCCCTGGGGGCCTGTGCGATGGCCTGCTGCCTCCTGACCCTTTCCCATTTGGGACCTGGGGGCCTTGCTGTGGGACACGTCCTCAGCCGTAGTCAGAAGGCCTGACCCTGAACGAGGCCTGACCCCTTTGACGTCTTCCTCCCGTGTGACCCCAGTGTCTGGCCCGGCGCTTGGGCACCTGAAGGAGGAGACTTTCCCCTTAAGTGGAACGCACCTGTGTCACCCAGCCCCCTTTCAGTGAATGGGTGCCTTGTTCCTAGAGCTTTCTGGTTGTTTTTATCTTGGTCTCCCTTAAAACCCAGGGGTTTTAAACACCACAGGGTCTGTGTCTTAGAGATAACTGGAAGGGCCCCCCCATCAGGTCCTAGACTAGGAAGCATGGACCCCGACAAGTCAGATGGGGCCTATTCCTCTTCCTCTCTTTGCATCACCCCAGACTGTGGGCTCAGCCAGGAAGCCTGGCCCTGTGGCTGGCGCTGAGAGTGTGGCCAGGATGCTTGGTGTGAGAAGCCGGGTTCCCACCCCGCCCCCGGGCCCCGGGCATTCGCTGTGGCCACTCAGCTTCTTGGATGTCTGCACGCTGGCTCCAGGGATGCTGGTTTTTTGCACCAGACTTTTCAGACTTGGCTGCAGGAGAAAACCCACCGCACCTCACCCCTGCCCCCCGGCTGGGCCGCCCACTGGACTCAGCCACATATCTCGGCAGGGGTGACTCGTTCCAGAAAGTAAACCTGCCCCGGAAGGGTGTGTAATCACTGCTGTTGAGAGGCCGCTGCAGGCTGGGGTGGCTCTGAGGGACAGTGGAGCACACACGTCCCGTAGGGGGTGGTGACTTTGCCAGGACGTCCAACAAGGGACTCTTCTGTCCTAACCGATAGTTGGATGGGGGCCGTTCTTTCTGGGTTCACTCCAGCCCCTTGCCGCAAAAATGAAGGAAACCTCTCAGCTGGAACAGTAGAGGATGATTAAAAAAAAAAAAGGGGTTTTACTTATTTATTTGAGAGAGAGAGAGAGACAGAGAGAACACAAGCAGGGGGAGTGGCAGGCAGAGGAAGAAGGAGAAGCAGACTCCTCGCTGAGCAGGGGGGCTTTATCCCAGGACCCTAGGATCATGACTTGAGCGGAAGGCAGACACTTAACGACTGAGCCCCCCAGGTGCCCCGAGGATGACCTTCCACACAGCACTGGCCAGGGGCTCATCAACACATACACCGACCAGAAAAGCCGCTAAGAGGGCGAGCAGGGAATTCCAGACCTCAGCAGACGTTAAAGTCCAGGACATAAGCAAGCCACTCTGTTGATAATAACAACGAGCCCACCACAGTCTGTCCTGGTCGAGGGTGGAGAAATATGGGGTAGTTCCCCACGCTCTCTGCCCCATGTCCACCCCAACACGACACCGTCTGCTTACCCATCTGCGTGTTCTCCACACGGGACTTCGGCGTCTCTGCCGGTCCATTGGGGTATCTGCAGAAGGAGATCTGTTTGCCTCTGTCTGTCCCCAGGCATTAGGTTGTATGTACAGGACTCCTGTCTCTATACGGGGTGACCACACAGAGCCCAGCTGGGGCCGGGAGGGAGCATCTTAACCTCCTGAGCATGTCCCGCAGCCGTCCCCCTGCAGGTGCACCTAGCACACTGAGCCCCTCGGGGTCCTGTGGCCGGCTTCTCCAGGCAGGTGGGGGTGAGCCCAGAGTGAGGGTCAGCAGGTGGCCCCAGGGGAGGAGTGGGCTCGGCTGAGTTGTGGGGCTGCAGGCTGTGAACCTGGGGTGGGGAGAGCTCTGGCCACACGCCCCTGCCCCAGCACCCACCTGCCGGTCCCCAGGACCCGGGCAGAGCGCTTACACATCCTGATGCTTTTTAGACTTCCGCCAGTTCCTCTGGTCTCTGTTTTCACCCTGTTTTCTTTTTCTCTTTTCCTCCTCTCCCTCCTGCGGCCTCACATCCCTGTGTTGCCCCCAAGTTTCCCAAGGTGAGTCTGCTGGTGGGCGCGGGGCCCCCAGCCTGGGCTGCCGTCCCGCTGCACACCACCCTCCCCAACACGTTCACCCCAGCAGGCCGCCGGGCTTTCGTCTTGTTTTTTATTTTTATCTATTTTCTTTTATTTCTGTGCTTCTGTATATCCTCTTTGTGTTTTTGTTTGGTGGGATTTCTAGCTGTAGTGTGGAAAGTGTTGAAGTGTAGACAGAAGTCTGGGGCCTAGCACACTGAGACCCTCAGGGCCTGCAGTGGCTTCAACAACACATGGTCACTCCTGTGTCATCTGTGACGTCATCTTTTTTCTGCATTTCCCGCATATGATTCGGACTTAAAATTGGTGAATAATTTGGTAAATAATGAGAGAAAACAACCGTTAGGTCCTCAGAAACTCCTCTGGGGCTAAGTTGCCAGCTCTCAGTGGGGTGGGAGGCATTTCGCCAATCCCAAACTCATAACTTCATCCATAAATGTTTCAGTGGCTCAGTTTCCCCAGTGGTCTTGTGACGGTCAACAGTGTTTTAAAGGCTCGGAGTCCTCGGTCATGTTTGTCTGTGTCCCAGACGTCCGGCTGATTGAACAGACACATGGTGACGGTCTTCTGTGTCCTGTCTTGCTGTTTTTCTTTCCGTCCTCCTCTCTGTCCACACGTCCCAGGTGCCTGACACTCGGGGATGGAGGCCCACCCGGCAGTCTCCTGGGCAGTGGTTTTGGGGCATGTCGATCACCGTGTCCCCCACCCCCTATCCCAGATGCCCTCCTGTCCCATAACCCCACTAAACCCGAAGTTCCACAGTTCTCCCTGCATCTTTCTGTTCTGGTTAAAAAGCCCATGCCCTCCAGAAAAGGTGGACCCTGAGTATAGCAGCCATTCACACTTTAGTGTGAATAACATTTCATGACCATATTGCAGTTTACAGGCACCTCCTGGAGAAATCCTGTAGGAAGTGCGCATCTCATTGTCTCTCCTCTTCTTCTTCCACACAGGCTACAAGGAGCAGGGCATCCCACAGCAGCTGTGAGTCGAAGGCACTGCCGAGAATTCCAGGGTCGTCCCATGAGGGCTGCGCCAGGCTGCAGCGGGCACCGGGACCTCACTTGCTCTTCTGCCATCTCCCGGGGTTGGAGTGGAAGAGGGGGATTTAAAAAACATTATTTATTTTGAAAACGCATCTGCTGTTCTTGGCAGGCTGCGAGGCTGCCAGCCCCTCCTCCTGCTCCAGAAAGACGCAGGCCCCCAGAGCATCTCAGGTGGGGTGGAGGGTGGGGAGTGGGGGGCGGGATCGCGGACAGCGAGGCTGGGATGCTCGGCTTGCCCCTGCCCTGCACGTCTCCCTGCCCCCTGCCAGGGTGCCCCAGAGCTGCCAGGCAGGGGCAGGGTTCAGTGGACCCTTCCTCTGGGTCCCCAGCCCCCATCTGAGTGTTTGGTCTCCCTGGGGCCGTGCCAGGGCAGGAGTGAGCCAGGGCAGGAGTGAGCACTCAGCCCGGTGTGGAAAAGTCTGCTGTGCCCACCGCCATCCCAGGGCTGCCTGGGGACGGGTCCCCAAAAGTCTCTCCTGGCCCTGAGCTCCCTTACTGCAGCCTACCGTTCACCCACCCCTGCTCCTCGCCACTGAAATCTCTGGACCTGGGTGTGTTTTGACCTTTGTTTCCCTAGACGGCGGCTGGCAACTCCATCCCTGGGCAAAACGGCTTGCCAGGTGTGTAGACGCAGGCTCCCCAGTGCAGGTGTGGGCGAGCACAGGCCTGCTGAGCCTTCACATTATACATAATACCACGCCTAGTCCATAGTCCTCCTAAAATCCTTGGGGCTGGATGGGTCTCCGAGTTCAGAAAACGTGTATCTGAGATGGAGTAAGACCCATTTACCATGCGTTTCCTAACACCCCTGCAGTCCGGGGCACCTCCCGACTGCCAAGCGCATGACTGATTTTGCAGAGAACCCTGTGAAAAGTCAGACTAATTGGGATTAATAAAAACCACGAATAGCCTCAGCTTGCTTGGTTCAGGTCAGATCTTGGCCTAAATAAGTTATGGAAGAAAACTTAGCATTCGAGAGCTTTTGGGGGATTTAGAATTGAAAAAAAAATTGGGGTGGCGGACTTGTTTCTGAAAATCCCTCTTGCAGGGCCTGGGACTCCTGCTGGGGTCACGCGGGGATTCCTCCCTTTGCAAAGGGGTGGTGGGGGCCTTCACAGCGCCTGCCTGCGTGGTTGTTGGGGAGTTGGACCCTGGTGGGGGAGGGACTCACGGGAGGTGTTGGGGCCACTGCAGGTTGGGGATTGCTCTGAAGTGAAGAGAGAGGCAAAGTCACGGTGGATGTCTACACGTCTGTTTTCATTTGCTTCCTAACATGGGAATGGCGAAACTGGGGGACTGGCCCAAAGCTGTTTACAGAACCCCTTAGACTCCCCGGGGGAGGGCTTTTCTTGTCACTCAGAGTGTGGCCAGGGCTGGCGAGGTGCCCTGACTGGCCTTTTCCTGTCGCTGGGTGGGTGTGCTTGGGGAGCCTGCCGCTGGACAGGCCTCCTTGCTCCCTAAGCCCACTCACCTCCCCCGCTGGGCTTTCTGATTCTCGTCCTGCCAGGGACGTGGGCCTTGGGCTCCCTGTGGGTTGGGTAGCTCTGGGCCACTGTGGAGACCCAAATCCCCTGCCCGGAGCTCGGCTGCACTCTCTGAACAGCTGGCTGTGTCTTTCTTCCTGCCCCCCTTGCCCCCCGACCCCAGCCAGGCCTCTGCTGCCGCTGCTGCTTCTTTTGTGCTTGGAATCCTGTGTGTTTTCAAGGCATGGGACCAGCTTTGGTTTCATCCAGAAAGCCAGAGCCTTTTAGAGTGTGAAGATGGCATCCCCTGCCCGGTAGACAGCAGGTGGCTGCTGGTGGCCCCCAGGAGGCTGTGTCAGTGTGGGAGCCTCCCCTGTAACCAGGTCGGAGGAGCAGCACCCCGCTGCCTTCAGCCCCCACATGCTTGAAGGGACCACAGGGAGGGACCATGGGCCTCGGGCACAGCCCCCGCGGTGGAAGCAAGGATCTTGCATTCCTTGCTTGGGTGGCTGCTGAGGGGGACAGAAGAGAGAGCAATTTATGGGGCGTGCTTAATGGTGATCCAGACCCAGGTGGGGGTTTCTTGAGTGAACTCTGGTGTGGGATGGGTAATACAAGGGTTTGTGGGCTCGGAAGGACGGCTCCCTTCGGCTGCCAGCTGCTTCCGAACTCGAGGGGATGTCAGCCTCTGGAGGAAGCCCTTCCCGTGGAGCTGATGTGTGTGAGGATGGGGGCACCCCCGTCCTCTGAACCCCCAGTCTGTGAGAACAGCTGCGCGGGAGAGCGGCTCGAGACAGCAGCTCTCTACATGAGACTGTGGCCTTGGTGTCACCGGCTGAGATGAGGGACAGGGGAGGTGAGGAAGGGTCCTGTAGAAGGGTGCCTTCCCTCTGCCACCCCCGAACCACGTGTCAGCCCCGACGACAAGGACAGCCTCCAGGTGTTGGGCCCTTGCCAGGCTCGTTGTGGCTCCTTGGACCGCCTATGACCCTTACCAACAATCCTGGCAGGGGGGACGTGAGTATGCAGAACTTCCAGAGGGCAGAGCTGAGGCGTTGGGAGAACAAGGCCCCGAACACGCAGCTCATGGCCTGTGGCAAAGCCTTGCTGCAGAGGGGATGGGATCTCTGGGCCAGAGGGGCCTCTGGATGGCCTTGCCACGCGGAAGGAGCAGGTGACAGGAAAAGCCTCCTCAGCAAGGACTGGATGGCTCCACCACACACTGTCCTGGGCAGTCTGCCAACCCACAGCCCAGAGCAGGAGTGGGAGCGGGCAGAGGATTGCTCCCAGCCCTCTGACCCCCCACGTCCCAGATGCTTGGCGGGGACTTCAGCCTTGTGCAGACGCCACGAGGACCGAGGAGCAGTGGGGAGCACACGAACTCAAGAGGGTCGAGGAAGCCACGCAGTCCGAATTTCCCCAGGAAGGACAGGGACCTCAGGAAAACCGAACACTGAGCCCCGAGGCCCCAGAGAACGCCTTCCAGAGTCCTGAGGTGCTGGAGGAGGAATCCTGGGATCCACAGAGGTGGTCCTTCTGCACCAGCCCAGCTTTTTATTTATTTTTTATTTTTATTTTTTTTAAAGATTTTATTTATTTATTTGACAGAGATCACAAGTAGGCAGAGAAAGGAAGGAAGCAGGCTCCCCGCTGAGCAGAGAGCCCGACGCGGGGCTCGATCCCAGGACCTTGGGATCACGACCTGAGCTGAAAGCAGAGGCCTTAACCCACTGAGCCACCCAGGCGCCCCCCAGCCCAGCTTTTTAAACCGCCCCCAAAATCTACTATGTTTTCTTTAGTGAACCCCATCCCCGCGCAGATGGGGGCGAGTTTGCGAAGGACACTTGGGGGGTGGGGCGGGGCCAGCATGGGGCGGGTCCGATGTGGGGCCCCATCCTGCCCCCAGCCCAGAGGCCTTCATGAGCTGGAAGGTTTTCTTCGGTGGTGATGTGGGCTGCCTGGGCCTATGGAATTGGCTTAGGGATGACTGACCTTGATGTGTCCCCTGGTGGGTGGCGCAGGCCCTTGTTGGCTCCTGTGGTTGGTTTGTTTGGGAGGCTTTCAACAGAGGGACTGGAGGTGGATGGGCACCCTCAGAGGTTCCCCAGCTGCGTTGACTGTCCCCAGAGACTGGGACCTTGCAGGGGCGGGGGTGCCGTGTGAGCTGCTCTCCATGAACCCGCCCGAGGCTGAACGGAGCCAGGGCTCCTTCTACTCAGGGGTCCCCCAGGCTGGCGCCAGGTAGCTCTTGCAGGCGGGGCCCTGTGTTCCTTTGTGTATGCAGCAAGCACTCAGCGGGCCTGCTGCGGCCTGAGGGGGGCTTCCAGGGGGCAGCTCCGGGGCCGCGCAAGTGTGGAACAGCAAGGTGAGCGGAGGCAGGAGGCCGGGCTGTGGGAGGGGAGGCTGGGGGCTGCCTGAGCTGGAGGGGTGCTGCTTGGGGTCCCGCGATTCTCACCTGTTGGGCTCTGAGAAGTTTTGAATGTCCGCGGGACACGGAGGCATGCAAGTGCGGCGGGACTCGCCAATTTGCCCTAATCTAATCCCTGTGCTGATGGGGAGCCCCGCGCCCCAAACACTAGGGCGAATTCCAGCTCAGTGCTTTCTCTCCTCCCGTTTTGTGCCTCAGCGGGACCATCTGTACGCCAGGCAGCCAACGCCAGTCCCGTTTCTGTCAGAGCAGAGGCCTTGGAGGATGGCCCCAGGGCCCGCAGAGGCAGAGGCTGAGGCCACGGGCCCCATGGACTGGGAAATGGCCACACCGGAGCTGGGACTCTTCCTAGTGACAGACACTGCGCTCTCTCCCCTCCTGATTCTGTCGCACGGGCAGGCGGATGACAGGGCCGTCTTTGCAGGTGTCCTGAGTTTCCAGTACAAGTTGTCTCTCTGGACTTAATCCCCAGTTCTGTCCCTGCCTGCCTGGATTTGCCAGCATGCCAGCCACCCCCAGGCCAGGCCACTGGCACCCTAGGCAGGCAGAAGCACAGACATATGCACACTCCCTTACACATGTGTATGTACTCCCCTCTGCCCCCTGCCAATGCATGTTCACAGCCCTTCCAGCTGCTGGGTGAGGGCAGGACTCAGGGTTGGGACCTTGACATCCACAGAGGGTTCCCTCACACTGCCCAGGAGCCGTCCCTCCAGCGTGGGCCCTGGCAGGTGGCACTTGTCCTTATCACCCAACACAGGGCCCAGAAGCACACAGTTCCCTTGATCCCGAAGGGCCCCTGTGCCTGGAGCCCTTCCTCCCAAGGTCCATAGCTCCACACCCCCAGACACCAAATCCGGCTGGCCTTCGTGGGAGGAACGACAGGGGTCTCCCAGAGAGGAGGGGATCATGATCCCTTTCTGGGCTCTTCTGTGGCTGCAGATAGTCCTCCCCACCGTCCCCACCGCCCCCCCTGCCCTGGCCTCAGGATGTGAAGCAGTGAGGAGAGACAGGCAAGGTCATACCCACCCCACTTTCTGGGTGAGCATCTGGCTAGTATTCCAACCAGGGAGCTGTCGGCAGTGGCCATAAGTGACCAGGGCGTGCCATGGGAACACTTGTTTGGCCCTTTGCACGGGCTAAGGTAAACGTGCCATTGTAAATGGTGCCAAATTTTTGAAAACAAAGTACATTAAAAAAAAAAAAAACACTGATTCTGTGCATATTAGCTGAATTTATATTTGGATGAGTGTTGTGCTGTGATTTATAGTTTTCAATACGTGAGTGACTTTGAGTTTCTCTTCCTCCTGTTGAAAGAATCGCTGTCCATTTCTCTTGTTCTCTGCCAAGATCCTCTCCCAAACCTCCCAGGGCTTCCTC